TCGCAAAATAATATACTTAGACTGTTCGGATCGTTCTAAAATTTTTGTATGATAATTCTACATATGTCTACTTTCGAAAAATGCAAAAAAAAAAAAATTAATTTTTTCAAAATTATAAACCAGAATGAACCCTTAAGTTTTATGTGGACTGATATCTGTATTCAAGATATTTATTCTAATATTTCTACAATATACACAACATGTATTTTATATATACAAATAAAAATTTTTTATGTGTTTTTTTTTATAATAATTTATAATTAAATTATGTAAATATTTATTTATAAAATATTACTTAAGATTATAATGATGGTACTTAAAGATTATTAAAAAGAATTATTTACAAATTTTCTTACCTGTATCATTTTTGGAAATTGTCTAGCAGTGACAAAGTGTTCGTTAATATCAATAACCAATAATGTTCGATCACGTAACCACCCATCTTTAAGACCCAATACAGTACACTCCATCGTTGTGTATCTAATTGGACCCAATGATTTTACCGGATATGTTACGAGATCACTAAGTTCACCGACTTTTCTCCATTTCGATGGTAGTTGATACTTCTGTTTACGGTTCCACCACCACCAAAGGAAGAAAACTACTGTACCGACACCGACAGTTGTTACCGTAACGCAAGCGAGTCTTGTTCTATCTGTTAACAAGTGTATAAGCAAAAACTAGTAAAAAGACATATGCACTTGATTCTAATTAATAATTTGACTGATCGAGTCTAATTGATTAAAAAAAAAAAAAATATAAGAAAAAGAAGTCGAACTCTTGTTAACTGTTTTTAAAAATGCATCTAACAAATAGTATACAACTATCTATAGAAGATGCTTTTGAATGACAAATTTTGTTTACACTAGTCGAAAGATCATAAACATTTTTTGTTTTAAAATTATATTTTTTTTAACGCAATGGTTAAAGTTAGTTATATCCTTCTAGGAACATTGTAACTATTGTGATTACGATATTGAAAACGATGATTAAACAATAGATATTTTATATAAGTTTCTTTTTATTCTGTATTATTAATGTACTCAGAAAACACATCAAGCAATCTTCATACTACTTTTCATTTCTTTTAACTGCAAGATATATTTTAACCGTTTATTTTAAAAATGGTGCAAGTTCATTTTTTGTTGTTTCAGGTAAATTTCAAATTAGCATATTAATTAATTAAAAAATATAAGTTACTTATGTCAATTTTGGTAATGTTTTCACTAATTTATCACTATATAATTTGCTTATATACATTTCTTTTAAGCTTCTTTTAACTAAAATAATATATTCTTACGGGTTTTAAGTAGACTTTAAGTAGACATTATTTTCATAATTAATCATTTATATAAAAATCATTTAATTTTAATGATAAAAAATGAAATATTACCTAAAATATATTTTGTTTTAATCAAATCTTGTTCATAAATAATAACAAGAAATAAAATAGAAGTCGTATTTATTATTTTTAACGTTAATTATATTTATATATTGTCAAGCTTAACGTAAGATATTGTCATTTATACTCCTTATATGACAGCGTTTTGAAATATTCATCTGATGTACACGTCACGAACATGACAGCTAATTATGGCTCATTTTGTAAACATTTTCAAATTTGTTATCTATAAAGATAAATAAGAATTTTTGAATATTGTTAAGAATATTGTTAAAATATTAAGTAGATTTATTACGTTATGCGTACGTTAGATATGTACGCAAATGGTTCTCCTTGTAGTTAGTTTTTAAGTTTCTATCTTTAGAATAGGATAAATACCTTTCTCACATAGACAAAAGAAAATAGATGGTTTTAGAAAAGGTAAAACCGATCTTCTTATAAGTATAAATAGGTATTCTAGAGTAAGCGAAATGTTTTTTGTTAGGTTAAAGTATAGGAAATGTTAGTCTCTGTTGCTATGAAGAATATAGAAGTATGTATCTGAAGAAATAAAAGAGTATATGAGTTTTGTGTGCGTGTGTGCATTAGGATATACGTGATTTCAAAACGTTGATATTAGTTAGTAGAAATAAATATTTTGGAATGAAGAGTTGAAATAAAGATGTCGGAATAAACAGTCGACAAATTTAACACATATAAATGTGAAATCTACTTTTGACTGTAAGTACAATTAAATTATTTTGAAAGTAAAAATTTCTTTAGAATAGTGGTCATTTGAAAAAATGAATCGCGGCAATTCTATACTGCGATGTAACAGACACGATACTAAATAAGAAAAGGAAAAGAGACAAACATATATGATTGAGCCTACGAGAGAATGATACAAAATATAGCTATACAGTTTTTCCTATTCTCGGTCTCCTCTTTATGCTATGCTTCGTAGTTATCGCTCCTGGTTGTATATGTGTGTGTTTGTATGCGACTGCATACTACGAAGCGTAGACACAAATTATTTCGATACTAAATCTGTTTGTAGGTAGGAGCGATAAAAGGGTAGAAAAATAAACCGAGATAAGCACGTAGGTAGGCGACAAAAAAATAAGGCACAAACGAACCGACGGTCGAAATAAAGAAAGAATATGTATAGCATGCTCTGTAAGTTGTATAAGTGTGTAAATCTGTGTGAATCTGGAAGGTTCTCGAACGATACCGATGCTTTGTTTATTGCATCAGACTGGACGTTTTGCAAAATTCGAGAACCGCAGAATATATATGATGGAATATATGGAAATAAAGGAGCGGGTATTAAAATATATTTTAAATATATTTTATCAGTAGAATTAAACTAAGTGTAACTTAACTTCGCACCTCTACACTAAACCCAATCCTAAGTATATATAGAATCCTAAATATATAGAAACAAATATATATATATATATATATATATATATATATATATATATTGTTTCTATCTATGGCTGTCGCATTCGGCATTCTACTATATCTTAATTGATATAATTTGGAAAGTGATAGTTTTTGTTAGTTAGCCTCATCCCAAGATCATACCGATGCTTTTTGATATATATGCTTACAATATTATAATAAATAAATCCTACAAAATATCTTACTGTTGACACTTTGCATTCGTCTCATTCTCTCGAAACTTAATTTTTTGAAGATTTCACTTCTAACACGTATGATTTGCACACATGATATTTTTTTAATTCATATTATTTTTCTTTTTGTCGATATTTACCGAATAAAAAACTATGTTTTCATAGAGAAAAATGTTTCACAAAATATTATACTTTAAAAATCTACTAGAAACTATGATGAAATTTATTTTTAAATAAAATTTTTGAAAAACAAATTCTTTTTCAATAATACCTCAAATGAATCCTATTATAAAATTTCTGAAAGTATCATAAAAATTGCTTTATAAATAACAAAGGTATGTTAATTTCAGAACGTCCAAGTTTGCCCAAAAACGTACGGTCCCAAGCATAAGTCTGACAAATTTCTCTTCAGTCCTTAAAGTGTTAATTCATATGTACGACTTTGTACAGTAATGCACCACCGTATTTATAAAGACCTTAAACTTTATTCGCTACTATATGAAACTATAAATAAATATAATTACAATTCAATTACTTTTTAATGAAAATGTCCGCCATTTTTAGTCCGCTATTTTGTTTTTTAACAAAATAATATCAGATTCGTAATCAACGACCTCTAAAGCCCACAAATACTAATTTTTAATAAAATAAAATTCCATCTTCTACTTTTAGCCACGTTTTTGAGATTTAGCTACACTATGCTAATAATAATTTTATAAAAAACCAATTTTAAAGAAATCAACTAAAAATCCAATAAACATGATCGTATCGTAACGAGAAAATAAAACGATATCATATAAAAATTCCAAATGTTACTAATAAACTTATCGTATAATTCCATTCTATATATCTCTCCGGTCTTTAATATAAAAGCTCAATGAATCTCACTTACTATAACTACGATAAAAAATTGTCATAGAAATAATTTAAAATAAAAAATTATAATTAAATAAATAATAAATAATGCACACATACTTGTTATCATAATTGAAGAAACGTTGAAAATATAGGATGAAATAATATTGAGAAATTTAAGGTTATGTCATAATACGGTTAGATCAATTTAATAATATCACTTGTACTTGAAACGTCTGGCGCTGAACTGAAGGTCGTTCTCGACGAGAGTCTCTCTCGACATCCATGTGATCATCCATCTCTCTTTTACTCTTATCTTATCTTATCTTCTTTTTTCTCTTTTTTTCGTTACAATAAATAATTTTATAATAATGTGGTTTGAAATAACTGATAAAGACATTTTTTTCTAAATTTTGACTTTAGACCGCTTTCATAAATATAAGTATATACAAACATGAATTTCTCTCATTATCAACACTCCCCTCTTTTCTATATTTTGTTTATTTTATTTCTTCTTAAAAGATTAAAAAAAAATGTAGATTCCTACTTCGATCTAGATAAAAAAAACATAAGTAATTTCCTATATAGTAAGAAGGCATCTTATATAAAAATCATTAAAAAATAAAATCTGTTGAGAAGAATCTTATCAAATGTGTATCAATCAACGATCAAAGAGAGAGAGAAAAACAATGAGTTTGCACTTATATCACGTTGTTTTGCAAAGTTTTATGCTTCATCCCGCCATACCCTGTTTCATTTCTCTAATTGTAAAAATACTTTCTACCGATTGTTTATTTTTAATGTGAAAACTTCTTTAGAATCGAGATGATTTAGAAATCGTGAAACGAAAATACGTTTTACAATGGAAAACGAAACGTCTGGAAAAAAAGACAAACATAAAACATCTATAGGATTTTTCATGCGAGAGAATGAGACAGAAGATAGTTTACGTTTGTTTCTTATTATATCGGCATACTGACTATGCAGTGCCTCGTAAACTCCCCACTCTTGGCTACTAAGTGATGTACAATGTGTACGCTTGTGTACGCCAGCAAATTGCCATGCAGAGTATGTACATTAAGGTGGGTCAAAAAAATCAATTATTTTTTTTTTTACAAGTGCCACGGAAAAATGGGTTGCTAGACACCTTAAAAGAATTCTCATTAAATATGAGCTCTTCATTTTAATAGGAAGATCCTCCTCATCGCAGTTTTTTATTTTTTTCTCAGTCCAATAGAATAAAATTCATACCTCATCATTAATTGATTGTACAGAAAAATGTTCTAGAGGAATTTTGTAGGAAATTTAATGCTCTACAAAAAAAATTATTATATATTTTATCCGTAAACCTCACCATTTGCATGATATTGAAGATTTAAATTTGATGATTTTTAGACAAATTTCATTTTTGTTTATGAATTTTATAACTCGACAATAAATGACTATTATAAGATGCTCAATAAAAATTTTTGTAGGAAATTAACTGCTCTATAAAAATGGTGTCATATGTTTTGGCGAATTAATTAAGCGTTCAAAAGATATTCAGAGACAAAAATCAGTACACATGAAAGTTTGATGATATATACATATATATATATATATATATATATATATATGGGGCATACCACGTTAAATCGGTCACTTTTGACCCCGACCACACTTCGAGACCCTTATTATTTATAACATATCTCGTCCTTATCCTTTGGACCACAAACTTATCTTTCTAAATACTCTCGTCTAAATAAAGAACTGAACAACGAAAAATATAAAAAATGCATTAAATCGTATTGCTCTCTCAGCTTATCGAATTGTGTACACTACGAGTCTCAAATTTCAGCTCCGTGGTAAGATTCTTTGATTCACGCTGGGCGTTCAACATCTTAAAAATGTTTTTATTTTATTGAAAAATTAGTATAAGTTTCTTAAATACGCAAATTGTAATATAATTTTCATATATGCATGGGTCAGTACATCTCTTTGGATATTTTTCATAAAAACATATAAAAATCAAATTGAACAGACATATTTTGTCTTTATGCATCAAATATATTTTATAAAGAAGCAAAATAAAAATATAACAGTAATTTACTTGCTTTTGAATGGAGTTTGTCATGTGCTCCTCATTTATTCCACAGTATTCTCTAATTCTTTTTCTCTGATGTATCTGGTAATTATTTTTCTTTTTTTAAATATTTCAGACAATACAATTATTATATATTCTATRTACTTCATAATCATTTATTATAATATTTGCGAAATAAAGAGTTTAATACTAATTTTTTAATAAAATAGAAACATTTTTAAATAAAAAAGGTATGACAAGTTGTAAAAAAAAACTATAGGCATGAATATTATCGCATCGATAATAAAGATAATAAATGTAGATCGAATTTCAACAGACCTTCCCTGTTTTTTATAATTCTTTTCTCATGATAAGGAACCGACCTTGGGGTGTAGGAAGCTGACAAAAACTAATATTTTCAAAATTCTATCCATCAAGATGGAATGCTGAATGCGATTGCCATAGATAGAGACGAAAATTGTAGAATATTTGTCGACAGAAAGATACGTCGTCCTCTAATCCAAGTAAATATAATATTTTTTTTATTTGAAACTCAGGTAGATGAATTTCTTTTCTCTTACACTTTTCACACTTTCTGTGAATGTGAGATATCTTTATCATGGGTTAGCATACACAAGTATTTCTTTTTGTGTTGCAACTAATAACTGTNTATATTATATTATATTATATTATATTATATTATATTATATTATATTATATTATATTATATTATATTATATTATATTATATTATATTATATTATTTTTAGTGTAATGTTATTTTTTCTCAAACTGTAAATAAAAGTGTACATGTAAGGACGATTTAAATATTCCCTGTTTTTAGATAAGTTTTTTTCTTTGAAAATTATTTAGTAGATTATTGGATTATAAAGTCAACTTGTGATAGAAAGTAGATTAAAAATTAGAACGTTAAAAAAACTGTATTTTACGAATGTGTATTAAAAATTGTAATTAAGCTTTGTACATACCCAAAGTTAAGGTATATTATTATATTACAATTTTTTTAAAAATATACCTCACTAATCGTAAGATTATACTCGTAACGATGAAAGTTCTGATTTTGTCACTATGTATCTAATCAAATAGATTACAACAAATTGAGTTATATTCTAATTACCAGACAATTCTTTCACCTACATATGTTATTACGTATAATCTGATTATAGCTAATTCTTAAAAACAATTATTAAATCAAAATATTATTTCGAATAAAATTCTTAATAAACCTTCTTTTTTTCTTTTTCTTCCTAAATAAAATATAAATAAGGAAAAAAAAGCAGGGAAAATTATTTATATCGATTTCTTTTCATTTGATCACGTCATTAGTTATGATTTCCTACTAGAAAGTTTTCTTCGTTAAAGATATTTTCATCCTATGATGGTAGTGATATTACAGGTGCTTTCTCTTCCTACGGAATATCTACGTAAACTGGATCACCTAAACGTATGATACCACTTGTTCCTCTCAAAGCAAGATGAATTCCCATAACCGGAGCCTCACCTATATAGGGACGAATTATTGGATCCACAATTTGCCTATAGCTATAAAAAAAAAGATAATCACAATTAGAATATTTACTCTTAAATTATCAATAGATCCTATATTATTTATGAGAATTATATTAAAATGTTCTCAAAGGAACATGACTAAAATAAATTAAACATTATCTAGCAATGAGATTTGCAATTAATTACAAAAATTAAAATTATGTAAAGAAAATAATTAGTATACCTTTTCAAAGTCTTTAAAGGTTCAACCTTAGGACTTTTAGTGCCGGTTTCAGGATTAATCGTAGTTAAAGTACATCTAGTACAAGGTCTAACATTTCTGAAAACAACGTCTCCGATCTTAACCCAATCCCAACTATCTTCTTCGTAAACGTTCGCACCTGTCACAACAAAATTCGGTCGAAAATACGACGAAGTTATCGATTCTTCCAATCGAGAATTTAAATCCATTATTGATGAGTAATTTATAAGATGATAGCTGGTTTCATCAGGATAAGCACCCTGTTAAAAAAACGTTCGATAAATTATAAATAAATCTGAAGAAAATTATTTCTACATTCGATTAAAAAAATAATCAGGATTTAGATAACGCGATTATTAATGTACTAGATGAGTACGGTAATAGAGTGTAATAATAATAGTACTAAAATTAAAAATAATAATAATTATTCGTATATGGCTTCACGTATATTCTTCGTAAGCAGAGAAATTAACATAAGTTTGATTACATTTGTAACAAATATGCGACACCATGTTCGTATAAGAAAAATTGTATTAATCGATATGTGCTCTTTTTTTTTTTTAATAAAGTTGCTCAAGATGACAAAGTACAATTGATGGAAAAAGTATGTAAATTTCCACATTTCGATTAAATATTTTCTGATTCTAGGAAAGTAAACAAAAATAAAAGAAGAAGAACTTTTGTAAATATACTCACGCTATCAGCTTTCTCAAGCAAGGGGAAAATCTTGTTCTTATCTTGTATTTCTCTCACTGGTCGATCTAACGGATAATAGACCAAACGAAAACCGACGTCTTCTTGAAGAAGAAAACGTGACAACCATTTGGCTGCTTCTTCTCCACAATCGCAAGCAGGTACTGTTAAACCCCATACTGCTGTTTGAAAACTTTTTCCAGGAATACGTGCAAGATCTACTGACACCGACGTCATACCTGGAGCATTTAGGGTTAAAACTGAACCCGAAATGCTTGGTAATATCTGTTAATAATTTTCATTAATTTTTTTTTAATTCTAATATTTCCATACTTATGATGCATGCGCGCAGTGACATGAAATTAACAGCATGAAGTTGATTAATAAACCCTTAAGGGTTCATTCTGGTTTCTATGCCGAAAAAAAAGGCTATTTTCACGATTTTTTTTTAGGCTTTGTAGAATACATATACATATGAAAGTTGTTGGGTATGATAAATACACTCTAGAAGTACAGGAAAAAAATTTTTTTTTATTGTTTTTAACGTTTTTTGACATCAAAAATGGCTGACAAACGTGAACCCGTCAAAAAAA